ATGGAGGATATGGCTTATTATTTATACAATGAAAGTGACAATGGATACTAGGTATTGAATATTTTTCTATTCACATCTTATATTCTTTATGCTCTTAACATGACAGCAACTTAAATGAAGATTATCCCCATTTCACTCATGAGAAAGCTGGTATGATGGTACTTAGCAGGAAGTAGAAGGTCAGTAGTTGACACTTATAACACACACACACACACACACACACACACACACACACACACACTTTACTGAGCCCATTTAGCATTTCTCTTATGTCCATGTGTTTAGGACTGAACACTTGGGATTGGATGACCTATCACCTCTCGGAGGGCTTGTTCCTAGAGAACACTGGTTCTCTTCTCTTAGCATCATGGTTGACTGTCACTCTTTATATAGGGCTAGAACGTTTTGACTTTCCCCCCTCTCTGTGTTGCCATGGGAACTGGTGATGTCATTATACATATCTTGTTTAGACAACTGTATCATTGAGATTTCCTGGATGTAGCTTCCCTGTCCTATATAAAATACACAGTTTCACAGCAGATGTCCTGGGCCTCTTGCTCTTATAATCTTGTTGTGTGCTCTTTAATGATGGCCCCTGAGCCTTAGGTATAGAGGTTTTCACTGTGGATGTTAATGGTTGGGATTGAAAACCATGCCACTTATTTTTCTGCCTTCAGAATATTTACACTTGGCTGGAGAGTGGGCTCAGTGGTTAACAGCACTGGCTGCTCTTGCAGAAGATGAAGGTTGAAGTTCCAGCACCTCGTTGGCGGCTCACAACCATCCATAACGTCGGTTCCAGGGGCTCCAGTCCCTTCTTCTGATCTCTGTGGGCAGCAGGCATGCGCATACTGCACAGGCATGCATGTAGGCGAAACACTCATACATGTCGGATAACCTAAAAAAGAAAATATACGTCTTATCCACATACCCACAGGGGAGTTCCACTCCTGCCCAAGAAACTTCACTTTTGCAGCAAGTGGCAGCTCTTGACCTTTTCAGTAGCTTGTTCCTTCCGCTTCTTACTTTAAAAAAATTTAAATGCCTTAAAATTTAACTATATAGATTTCATAAGCATATAGTGAAGTCTAAGAGTAGTATTCTTTTTCTGGATATAATGAAGATAATGATCCATTTATTAAGCACAAATTAAACTGATGATAGAGGCTGCCAGCACTGCCTTTCAGGCCCCTAGCCAATATTCCCAAGTTATTTAAGATTCTGAGGAATGACTGTGGATCCTCAGGCAGAAGAGCCTTCTGGTCCCCTGTCATGTTGTGCACTGAGTTCAGTGTCAGCACCACAGGACAGCTGCTGGGTCTTCTTTGCTGTAGTGCTACCTTTTGGGTAAATCTGGTACCTGCTTTTCAGCACAGGGATCATCAGAGCCCACAGAATGATGCCAACGACATTCGGGGTAGCTGGGTCTTCCTTCCTCCGTCAAACCTCTCTGGAAACCCTTGAAGACACCCCTGAGGTTTGTCTCCAAGATGACTAAATCCCATCAAGCTGTCAGTCAGGATCAATCCTCCCAGGACCTTACTGAGAGCTGTGACTCACCACTTCAGAGGCCTTAGCGGGCCAGGCTTAGTTTACACTAGTGGTTCTCAACCTGTGGGTCACAACCCCGGTGGGATCACATATCAGATATCAGGTATCACATATCAGATATCCATTACAAGTTTTAACAGCAGCAAAATCACAGTTACGAAGTAGCAACAAAATAATTTTACGATTGGGGGTCACCACAACATGAGGAACTGGATTAAAGCGTCTCAGTGTTAGGAAGGTTGAGATCCACTGCCTGCCATGTTCTTGCCCCTCTTTAGGTCCTTTCATTTAGGCCATTCCTGAGTGTTGGGGATAGACTCAAGGTCACATTCTTTCACAGTTATCTAGTGGTTTCTTTAGCCCAATTCCATCCCTGCCGCCAGGGCTCAATATGGACAGGGTTTGGGTATAACACTTGGGGGCGGGGGAGTGATGAAAGATCACTCCTGTAGGCCAAGTAGGTCTGAAGATGGTTTTAACTGAACTGCAGTTCAGAACAAGGAGCAGAGAAAAGGCTGCCACTGTTCCTGGAGATGCCTTTTCCATGTTTTTAGCAAGGGGAGCAGAAGGATAGCAAAGGTGAAGGAAATATGTTTGGGGATACTCAACCCATTTTCTCTTGAAAATGCCAAGGCTAGCCACTCAATGGCTAGCTGTGTTTCATGGGAACACTAACACCTTTTCTTCAAGATATGTACTATGTAATATTTTGCCGGATGGTGGTGCCACACACTTTTAATCCCAGCATTCGGGAGGCAGAGGCAGGAGGATCTCTCTGAGTTCAAGACCAGCCTGGTCTACAGAGTGAGTTTCGGACAGCCTGGGCCACATGGAGTAACCCTAGAGAAAAAGAAAAACTAAAGTTAAAATCTGAAATATTTTAAATTAATTGAGAATGTTATAGATGCATGTAATGTTTTTTTTTTTTTTTTCATAACTCTCCCCCCCCCCCCCCCCACACACCCAGGGCCTCCAATTCCTCCCACTTGCACCTTACTGCTCCAGGTTCTCAGCCGTATCTAAGGCCAGGAAAGGGATGTGGAGGAAGGAGAGCTGCCAACCAAGCTCCATGACAAAGCAACGCCATGGCTTACCAAGCCGTGTGTAACTCATGCGTATCTCAACTTTTGAAAATCCACAGTTGCCATGTGGGCTTCTTGGCTGCATGCGCGAAGCGAAACGTGATCTTCCCCTCACGGCATCTGAAATCGGTCGATCATCCTTTTCTAATCTGGAGCTGGCAGCGGGCGGTTTTCTGGGCTGGGGATCATCTGCATACATCGGGAGCCTTGCCCACCACCTTCTGAGCCTCTGTGGCCTCCTGGGAGGCTTCCTTTGGCAGGAGAGCCTTACAGCTGTGAGGATTATTAGCGGGGTTCTGAATTATTTATGCCGATGCTCTTTCATCAGGGCGAATTGTCATGAATTGGTTGCAATCAAAGTGATTTAGGGTTGAGAAACGAAAGAGTGAGGAACTCCAGTTCGCGGGTTTGCTGGCGCCATGAAAGCTCTCAACAGTGAGAGGGGCTGCAGTTTGGCCTGCTGGAAGTGACCAAGAAGTTGGGAGTCTTCTGGCTTGCGTTCAAGGCTCTGCCCTCCCATCCTGACTGAGAGTCAAAGCCAGACCTTTAGGGAGTGCCTGTCTGATATCCACCTCAACAGAGGGCAGGCCCCGGGAGCTTAGTTTAGCGTAGGACCGGAGTGAGAAGCCAGGTGGCTGGCTCTCCTCTTCACTCTGCTCGCCTGTGTTGATTGACCTGCAGGATATTTACTTAACTCCTTAGTGCTTCAATTTATTTACCTTTTAAAATAAAGGATACTCGGGCCCTAGACTGGCAGGACTGCTTGATGAGAAAGAGGAGGAGTGAGGCATTAAATTCTTTTCCCACCATGTGTGGACACAGTTGGGAAGACAGCCATCAGCAAGGCAGGGGACACTGTCTTGGCACTTTGATCCTAGAACTTGAAGCTCCCAGAACCGTGAGACAACACGCTTTTCTTGACTGAGCTGCCTGGCTGGTTTATTTTGATGTGCCAGTAGACTATACAGGGCCTAAGACAGGGCACGGTGTATCAAAAGGACGCATGAATTCTTCCAAAAGCAAGCCTTGAGACAAGAGCCAGAGCACCCGCAGTTTATTTGGGAAACCATTTAGGAAGCAGTGTTGGAGGGCTCAGGAAAGCGAGGTGGAAGGTCAGTAAAGCCCATGTGGGTTATAACTTTGGGTAGCTGGAGCCAAGTAACTGGGAATCCTTTTGAAGACTGTGTGCAATGTGCCTCAGGATTTTCCTGGGTGGAGAGGACTTTGATACTCATGGCGACTCAGCTTCTCAGTGAATTTCTCTCAATACTCCAGGCAGCTGCCACCTGCCAGTCTAGCCGGCAGCCATGTTCCCACGCTGTTGGGTGATGCTGTACAGCAAAGCGGGCATGGGGGCTGAGCACAAGGACACAGCCAGGGCGGACAGAACATTCTTTCTCTTCTGTTTGCTTGATCTTTGAGTCAGGGATTCACAGTGTAGTCCTGGCTGGCCTGGAACTCAGAGCTCCTCCTTCCTACGCCTCTCCATGTGCTGCGGTCAATTGTACGTGTGCACCGCGACTTCCAGCACAGAAACAACATTCTGCTGGATGGTAGCTTTTACCCTTCAGCATTTCAGGGGTGAAAATACAGATCCCGACTATTCGCTAGCACTGGGGACTACGTATGTCTAGCCAGGCTTCAACAACGCTCCGTGTAGCTGGTCCCTGGATTAGATTTTGAGGAAAAACAGAACCTCACTCAGTTCAGCAGTGTTTAGCAGATGTCTGTGGTCTGTCCCCTGGGGATATATTATGTTTGTCATAGGGAAGAGTGAAACCAGAGCGCTGGGATCAGGTGCTATACAGATGACCTAAGGTTACCTTGTTTTAGTTGGAAGTGCACGGTGCTGATTTCCTTTGAAAACAGGGGAAGAGGAAGGTGGGGTTCATTCAAGCGGTTCATTTAAAAAAAAAAAAAACACAAAACAAAAAAACAGAATTCAGCTTGTGAAAATGGTAGAAGTCATTAGCACAGATCAACCTTTAACTGTGAGTCCCATTATCTTAGCACTAGCCTTTCTGAAACGATGTGTTTTTTTCTAAAAAGTCTCTGTTCATTTTTAACATTAAGAACAACAACAACAAAAAAAAGCCACTTAAGTTGCCATAAAAACAGTACTTCACAGTTTACAGTGTTTTCCACTACATTATCTCATTATGTTCTTTGCAGGCCCGAGAGAAGAAAATCCACAAATGGCATTTTAAAGCGAGTCTGGCCCATTAGGGCCAGCACATCTCACAGCTGGGTATGTGACACTCCAGATCCAGCAACAATAGGAAGTGACCACGAGGAAGAGAGCATGTCAACAAATTTGGTGAACCAGGGCACTTAAACTCTGCATAGCTAATGAAAAAGCGGTTTGGACTCATTAGGACTGATTTTTTATTTTTTTTTAATTCAAAGATTTCCCAAGTGAGAAGCTGAGGCTTGTCTGCAAGGGTCTTACAAACACCCTTGCCCCCACCTGTGGCTCTTCAGTTCGACCACTTGGCTCTTCGGTCTGTCAGGCAGCTTTGGGGTTAACCATGAAGTGACCCGTCCTCCAGCCAAGCCTCAGGAGTACGGACACAGTAGATGGCTGTCGCCCCTGCCTGGATGGGCTCTAACAGTCAAAGGACAGAATGTAAATAAGATGGCTATGCCTTCCTCTGGTAGTGTAAAGTGACTTGGATTTACTAAGTCTTGTGAAAACAGCCTCAGTCACTGTGCATGGTGCTTTGTGCCTATAATCCCAGCACAAACGGAACAAAGAGGCAGGAAAACCACGAACTGGAGTCTGAGTTGGAAGTGCACGGTGCTGATTTCCTTTGGCCTACATAGGAGGAAGACCTGGTCAAAAACAAAGAGACAACAACAACAACAAAAGAACAACAACAACAAAAAAATTAGCCTAAAGCGTTCCGTGAATTCTAATCATGTAAATCACGACTGCCAATTGTATCTAATGTATAACTGTGTATCGAAATAAAAGCCTAGGGTCTGCTTTTGATAACGTTTAATAACGTTATTTATAAGAAGTTTTATAGAACATTGCATAAGACACTTTTTCAGTTAAGATGTTTTTCCCTCTGGGAAATGAAATGTTCAGAGCGGCTGGGAGCAGAGGGTTGCCAGGTTGGTTAATTTAGCGGTGTCACTGCTGTCTGGCTTCTGGGTTTGCGTCTCTGGTTCTTTCTTCTTTCGTTTCATGGTCTCAACAATAGCTACCGAAGTGCCAAGCATCATGCCTTCTTGTACTTGAATGCGAGCAGAAAGGAGGGTACTGCTTTTTATCACTATCTGGATAAAGCCATCTTCAGAAGTCCCCGCTGAATTCCTTTTCCATCCTTTTGACCTTTTGTGTCCCTTATGTTACCATCGCTGGGGGAGGGGGTAGAATCGGCTATTACATTTCATCCTCTAATGCCAGAGGAGCAAGCAAACTTATTGAGCACACTGTTTCCTCAATGCTGAATAAAATAAGCATTTCTAGCAAGAAAAAGGGAGAGGGATGTGGGCAGGCAAGCGATATTATCTGATGAATGCATTTTGTTTTGTTTGTTTCTTGGATAATTCCTCCACTGTCTTTGGTGTCGGCTAATTTTCTACGCTTGCTATGCTAAGGGAGGCTCACATCGCTAGCACAATGTTATTTCTAGGTTTGCCTGTGAAACTGTTCCAAGAAGAGACCAGCATCCGAGTCAGTTGTCCAAATAAACATCGCTTTCTTCAAGGTGGGCTGGCATCATACAATCCGTCGTGGACCTGATTAGAACAGAAAGGCACAGTGAGACTTACCTTGTTCTTTGCAGAGACAGGGAGATGTATTGTGGGATAAACTGGATCTAACGTTTGAGACCTCCTGTCCAGAGCTCGGTAGTGGTCGGTAGCCCTGCCATATTGGTGCATCGCCGGGATCTTCAGGGGGATTAAAGGAGAAATGGGGTGAGGGCAAACGTTAATGGGAAGCGGGGCTGGTGAAGTGGCTCAGTGGTAGAGGGCACTGGCTGGTCTTCCGGAGGATCCATGTGTTTGCTAACAGCCATCTGTACCTCCAGTTCTAGTGGACTTAGCACCATCTTTTGGCCTCTGCTGGCACCAGGCATGCAAGCGGTGCGTGCACACACATCCAGGCCAAACGTCCATTCACATTCCTAAAAAAAATAACGGGAGGAGCTTTTTGGAGGAAAACTAAAGGGACTTTGGAACTTAAGGTTAGGGGAAAGGGATGTAACAGGATTCTGTGATTAACTACCTGCTTCCTTTATGCATTGAACAAACACAGGTAAGACTTCTGCCTGAGGGTCTGTGCCTCTTAGTGTGAGCAATGCTGGGAGCTGTAACGTCAGTGGGGTCACGAGTTCGTGGTCTCACCACTGATTTCAAGGTTAGGTACGGTATTTCCACAGTACACTGCCAATGGCGATTGAAGAGCCAATCGAGGCCTGTTGGAAGACCTGTGGAAGTGACAGGATTTTGGAACCATCGTGTTCAGTGGCATCTCGTGTTCCAATCCGGCTGTGTCAGACTTAACCAACATGCCTGCATTTCAGCATGCAGGAAGGAGGGAAGCAGAGGAAGTTGGGGGTGGGGTGTTAGCCAGTTTCTTAAGAATATAGTTCACAGTAGCTGTTTCATGGTACATTCGTTTACACCTCATCCCTCAGAATTTAGACCTACAGCCCACCCAGCTCTGAGACAAGCTGGGAAATACAGTTTTTGTTTGAAGTGGACATGAACTTAGCTAGAAACACTGCTACAATGGAAGAAGAGCAGAATGGATATTGGACAAACAGAAGAAGTTCTTAACCTCTAAGCCATCTCTCGGGCTGGAGAGATGGCTTAGAGGTTAAGAACCCTCGCTGTTCTTCCAAAGGTCCCAAGTTCAATTCCCAGGAACCACATGGTGGCTCATAACAATCTATAGTGAGATCTGGTGTGCAGGCAGAATGCAGTATAAATAATAAATCAATAAAAAAAAAACAAGTACAAAAGAAGGCTCACCCAGGTCCATCCCCTTCCCCTTCCTAAGGGAGGCTAGACTGACACCCTCATGGCTCTTTGCTTTTGGCTTGTGCTTGCTTAGCAGAAAGTCCTTTTGTTCCCTTTGCGCCTCATAAACTCCTGAAATCCTTTGTCATCGACTGAAGTTTTGTTTATCTTCAAAGCTGAAGTCAGCTCCAGTTCCTCAGAAGTTCTGTTTTTCTTCAGACTGAAAATTTTCTGAGCACTGAGTCTTGGATTTAACCATGTTCCAAACTTTCCTGTAGGTAAAATGAAGTGGATAAACTCACATCTTGATTAAGCTAAGGTAATTTTGTTCTTTCCCCAGTCACAGTCAAACTTAATCCTATATAAGAGTCTTCCCTCTCTTCCTTTTTTTTTTTTTTTTTTTTGAGCTGATGATCACATAAAGTTTGGAGGACTGAATGAATGTTAATAAATGGAAGAAGATTGGAAAGATTCCTGAATGGGTGCTATGATTTCCATATTTCTGCATTGAAGAGTGTGATTTAAAGGATGACATCTGCTGTAAACTCTCAGCCCAGGGACTTAGAAATGTATGACCTCTAGTAAGAAAAGTCTCTCTGTCTTGTTTTCAGGTAGTTTACAGAATGGATGAAAAGGCTTTGTAGGGTTGTAAAAATTAGGTAAGCTGCCACAAGAAGACGCCATTTTCTCAGGTTGGCACTGAGAAAATGTCCTCTAAGTCTTCAGCTCCTGCTCATTGTTATAGTCATAATCCCAGGCACTTGTCCTCATTAAGGGAGAAGGCCTGTGCTCCCTTCCCCAGAGCCACCGAGCTCATTTCACAGCGGCCATGGGTTTGTGAAAACAGAGTTGACACAGAAGGTGACTCATTTCTGGTGACGCAAAATGAAGACAGATCATTTTACTCCTGTAATTGAGAGGAAATTTGGCATATTGACAAGGAAGTGTGCTTCCACCATCCATTTGAAAGTATCCAGATAAAAAATTCCGACATAAAAATACAAGCACTCATTGATGGCCTTGGTAGTCATAGAGACATAGAGGATGACAGTAAAAATGATGGAGGCGGCAGTTCAGCTGAAATGTAGGCTGAAGCCGACCTATTAAACTGGATCCATCGTTCAGGCATCCCAGGCTTTTCAGAGTTCCCCGAGGAATGTTGAAACTCTTAAGTTTTATCTTTATTGACAACAATACAGACGTTATATATATGATGGGCCAAAAGCAATGAGTCTGAACTTCAGAACTAGAATTAAAAAAACATATGTTGGAATTTTTAGGAAGACTGGAAGACTTAATGTGAAGAATTGGTTAAAAAGACAACTTGTGGACTGCCCCAAAGCTTAAGAGCGATTTTTCTTCAATTTACATCAAAGGCTCCATAAATCTTTTGCTGTACTTGAGGCCTATATGTAACAGCTGTGTGGTGCTTCCCAGTTCATATAACTCTTGGGGAATTAATAATTCACTTAGATGTCTTGTTGCTTTCCTATTACCACACAGCAAAATTGCTATAAACTCAGCAGTTGAAACAACACGTTTCTTTTCTCAGAGTTTCCAGGGGTCAGGAGTGGGCAGCTTACGGGGTTCCTCTCCCTAAGTGTTTCACAAGCTGTGATCTGGGGGTCGGCTGGAATGTACCCCCATCTGGTAGAGTGACTGGGCAAGAATCTGCTTGAAGTTCATCCGATGTCTGCATGAGCTTCATTCATTGGCAGGATTCGATTTCTTATGCTTGGAGTCCTGATTTCTTGCTGTTCCCTCAGCTTCTTGAGACCACTTACAGCACCGGTCCTCAACCTTCCTAATACTGCAACCCAACCATAAAATCATTTTCATTGCTACTTCAAAACTGTAATGTTGCTACTGTTATGAATTGTAATGTAAATATCTGATATGCAGGATATTTGATATGTGGCCCCTCTGGATGCGTTGCTCAACCTCAAAGGAGTTGTGATCCACAGGTGGAGAACCACTGACCTGGAGACTGACCTGCAGTGTCCCGGTAAGCAGTCTCTCTCCAAGGTGGCCATTGACTTCTTCAAGCCAGCAAAGACATTCTGCTGAGCCTGCTAGCAAGATGTAGACATATAGTCAGACTTTTCTGTCTACTATGGATTGGTTTCGGGACCCCGATAGATATTCCACTTCTTAGATGTTCATTTATTATATGGCATAGTATTTGCACCTAACCAGCATATAGCTTCTCATATATTTTAAACAGCCTCTACATTCCTTACGATATCTAATCCACTGTAAATGCCACATAAATAGTTGTATGGTTTAGGAACTTTACCAAGAAAACAGTCTGTGTGTGTTCATTACAGACAGTAATCATGGGAGCATTTTCAACCTGTTGGTTGAACTTACGGAGGTAAGACCTATGGAGGGCTAACTGTGCATGCAGTGTGGGAAGCGACCTTCTGTAACTGCCTCCAAATTCTACTTCTTAGACATGAGTCACAAGTCCCTCTCCCACTCTTGGTGGAGACAAATGAAGGCATGAGCCCCAGGAGGCAGGGATCAAGGGAGGTTGTCAGTGAGTCCAGCTATCACAGGGCTCCTTTGAGGTGGGATGCAGAGAGCCTCAGTTCTGTTGGACACATGACAATGTTGCTGTTTACTTAAAGAGGCTAAAGGGATGATGGTTGATTGAAGGTTACAATAGACTCTGGCTCCCCAAATCTTAGTTCCTTGATGAAAATTTGACTGTCGAAATCATCTATATCTTTGTATCTCCCATCGATCCATACACTCAATGTTTTTTTTTTTCCCCTGTTACTTAAAATCTTTGTATTTTAGCAAATCCACCTCCTTCAAGTCAACAGGATTACCTTTTTGTACTAGACAGCCTAAGCCAGCTTTTCTGTGGTAACTAGCGGAGTCTTAGACTAGGGATGTATCTCAGTGGGTAAAGTGCTTGCCTGGCATGAAGCCCTGGGTCTGATCCACAGCACTGTGTGAACCAAGCGTGGGAATGCATGCCTATAATCCTAGCCCTTCTGAGACTGAGGCAGGAAGAGAAGTTCAAGGTTATCCTAAGCTACGTAAAGAGTTTGAGGTCATGCTTGTCTACGAACAAACTCAACTGCAAAATCTCAATGGTGAAAACAGCAAAGGTTTGTTTCTTGCTCATATGGCATATCCGGTGCAGGTGAGCTGGATTCTGTTCCTCAGGTTCTTCCTGGACTCAGGCCAATGTCCCAGTTACCACCCTGAAGATGCTCATCACTGGCCAAGCAGAAGAGAAGACTGGTGAATCTTGCAACCGCAGCCACACACCTTCTGCTCTGGAAGGGACATATAGGCTTGACACTCATTGGATGGAACTACTGACATGGCTCCACCCAACTCTTAAGTAAGCCAGGAAGTCCAGTTTTACCCCAGAAGTGGGCAGACCCAGAACTGCCCAGCATACAATTGGTGTTCCTATTATTACCATCAGCATGAAGCTTACTTTACTGGACCGGATGTTTATGTCTCCCATTCATAAGAAAGTCCTAGACTTAAAGTCCTGGAATTAAGAGGTGAGGCCTCTTGAAGGTGATTCAGCCATGAAGGCTACAGCCTCAGGGATGGACTAGACACCCCAGAAAGACAGCTTTCCTCTTGTACTGTTTGAGGACACAAGGAAAATCACCACTGATGAAATAGAAACGGATCCATCAGCAGGTACCAAGTCAGCTTGTGCCTTGACCTCGGACTCCTCAGCCTCCAGAACAGTGTTTTCAGGCCACTGGTTTATCGTATTCCTCTGATATCTGTCCTCATGCCTAAGACACTAGTGAGGCTCAGGTGGGGTCAGGCAGCTTTGCATTGTTTATAATCTTAGTCCACAATCCCTCAGCCAGTCATCTTGCTTCTGCTCTGGGACCTGATCTTACCAGCTTCACCTTTGATCTCCTGACTCACTTGATCATATCTACATGACCCTTAGAAGCTGAGGTGTGTGACTGCTTTTCCTCCTTGATTATGATCTTTGCTTTGTAGTGTTCCCATAACAGTGCTTCTAGACAAATAACTTACCAAGTCTCGCTGTACCTCTGCCATCCTACATCTAGACCCAAATCCTATGTGCCATGAATCTGAACAATCCATCCAAAATATAGTAATGCCATAATGAACGACACTTAGGGAGACAATCATGATTACATCATTAAGTAACCCCCTCTGTTCCTTTCTTCAGAGAGACAACAGGGACCAACCTAAATTTAATTAGCAGATATGAAAAGGGAAACATCAATGGAAAAAAATAGATCAAAGGATTAGACACGACTGAACCCAGCAGGAAAGCTTAGCTGACCAGGCTCCAGGCAAATAATTATCTAAAGAAGATGAACAACAGCCCAACTTATCAGTTGCTCTCTCATTTTTGGCTCACTGGAAAAACTGTAACAAGTAAGCTAAAATTTTAATGCCGCCGTAAGCCGTCTTTGAAGAAGGATGTACTAGCACAGCTTCCCGGTGGGCATGTAACAAAGTGCCAAAGAAAAAGAAGCACTGGACTCCATCCATGCTCACTGTGAAAGACACGCTGCGCAGTCCCACAGTTCTGCACAGCTAACGGTTTGGGCTGTTTCTGCTAACTCACAGGCTAACCTGGGCCCAGTTTCACTGGGCATCAGTCTCACCACCACCGTAGCATGTGAAAGACACTTGTGTGAGATCCGAGGAAATAGTGGGTCAGTAAGAACAGAAACTCTGCGACATGCCTTCCTCCTTGAGGTAAACTCATGGCTTCTAAGATTTAACCCTATGTGGTGTGTTTGCTGGTCGGTAAAATAGAGTGAGCTTCCTTTTGCCTCCGACGTTCTTCCACCTTGTTTTCTCTCTCTCTCTCTTTCTCTCTCATCAGAGCCTGCAGACCCTGGCTCAGTTTTAAAGCTCTACCACACACACACACACAAGCAAGATTCCTCCCTTTGTTTCCCCTAATACAGACACCCCTGGCAGACTGCAACTTATAACAACCTCCAGAGAGGGTAGGCCTTTACACTAGAGGGTTTGGTTTTTTTCCACAACTTGGTTGTTGCTAGGACCCGTCAGTCCTGTCTCCTTCCGTTCCCTGTCTAGTTGTCTGAATATGAATTTTTGATCCTAAAACATGGTTCCGGGTTTGGTTTGATCGAGAGGTTCCCCCAGAAGCGCAAAGCAGGAGAGAGAGGTGAGGCAGGCAAGGAGGAGAAGGTCATGGGATTAGTGAGTAGGCCCCCATGTTGGGAAGTTGGGGTTCAGTCTCATGGGCTACCCTTTGTTTCAAGATGGAACATGCCACAGAAGTATCCTCCAGCAGAAGATGAACACAGGCATTTATTCCCTAGGTGCTAGCTTTCACTGTAGACACGGCCCAGGGGCCAGTGCCCAGCATTTATGTGCTGTCTTCACTGCGCGCATTCCAAAGCTGTTCTCCAGGCAGAGAAAAGGTGGTAGATGACGAAGGAAACCATCACACCACTTGAGGTACATGTGAACACCTGGCCAAAGCTGCAGGATAGTGTCGAGAATACTGGGGAAGTGGGGTGACGGCCCCAACATTGCCAGCAACAAGATCTGGCTGCTCCCTAGAAATGCTCACTGCCCTCCTCTGTGCTCTCTGGATGTCTTAGTCCCGTCTCCCGAGAACTCTAAGGGAATATAAATTAATATACATATGTACCCCACCCCCACGCCCCACATACACACACACACACGACCCCCTCCCACATCGAATCCCTATCCCACACCACACACATACACATACACATCCAATGTGGACATGGCACACGCATACATTACATCCCGGCATGTCTATATACCCCTATTTATGCTATATAAATACACAGCACACTCCCCTAGTACACTGTGCCTATACCACACATTCATACCTCATGCCCATTATACGCACTAGTACATGCTACACACACACACACACACACACACACACAGACATGAACACACACTTTGCTGTTGTTTATATGCACACAGGAGCTCTCTCTAACGGCTTCCTGCTCCTCTTGTCATGGGAAGTGACTTTGGAATTCCACAGGGACTAAGCTAACTTCAGAAAACACCACGGTAGCTGTTTGTATTCTTAAACATTGACTGCGAATGAAACTGTAATGATGGAATTATAAGCACAGAAGTTCTTTGTTTATTATGTGGCTGTGGCCTTTCTCCCACTGCAGGCTCATGTATAAAATGTGAATGGGGCTGGAGAGATGGTCCAGAGGTTAAGAGCACTGGATACTCATCCAGAGGTCCTGGTTCAAGTCCCACCAACCACGTGGTGGCTCACAACCATCTATAACGAGATCTGACAGCATTTGTTTTTAAAATCAGTTTTCTTTGGACCTAGAGGTCCTTCGAGTTGTGATTCCCACTTACACCTGGGTCAGACTTTACTTTAGAGCCCTGAGGTCTATCACTTTGTCTTTGTCTTAATAGAGCCTTTGGGGATCATGTCAGTGGGTAATACCAGGCCTTCCTGCATGGATCAGATGGGAATTTGTGAGCACTGCATCACCATGCCAATGTTCATTACTTCTTTTTTTTTAATTATCCTACCATGTGTGATGTGATTTCTCATGCGCTTTTGATAGGCGTTTCCCTATAACCAACCATGTGGTACATCTTTTTGTGTGCTTACTGGCTTCCTTGGGGAAAAAAATGTCTTTCCAGATCCTTTTAAAGTTGGGTTATTTTCCTGGTGTTTTTTGATTTAGGGAGTTCCTTCTCTTTTTCTTTTGGTGTTTTTGGAGACAGGATCTCACTATGTAGCTCTGGTTGTCCTGACTATGTAGACTAGTCTGGCCTCAAACTCACAGTGATCTGCTTTCTTCTGCCTCCTGGCTTTTGGGGTTCTTTATATACAGGCTGTGTATATAGTGGATATACAAGCTCCCTATGAGATAAATGACTTGTAAATACTCTCTTAATCAGTGAGTTGCTTACTTACTTTCCCCATGATATCTTTCATTTCTCAATTCTTGTTGGAGTAATTAAGCAGAGGAAGTCTTACTCTACAGG